TGTACATCCCATTCCCTTTCTAAATCCCGCTTGCACATCCCAAATTTTTCCATCAGTCTCTTTCATGACCCTTTCAATCAGTACCTTAGCATACAGTTTTCCCACAATGCTAAGAAGGCTGATGCCACGGTAGTTTTTACAGTCCTGCTGCGACCCTTTTCCTTTATATACTGGAACTATCACGGCTTTGCACCAGTCTACCGGTACCCGCTTCAGTTCCCAGCATAAATTAAACAAGGTGTGCAGCAGGCCTGCCACCACTTTCTCTCCAGCCCTTAGCATTTCGAGTGAAACTCTATCATATCCGGCAGCCTTACCTGCTTTCATGCTTTTCATTGCTTTCATTATTTCATCTCGCTACCTCTTTCCTCTCCTTTCGGAATTTCTACTTCAATTAGTACACACGTTGTCTCCTCACTCATAAACACGCTTTCAAAGTATTCCTTCCATCTCTTTAAACTCAAAACTTCATCATTCAGAATATAGCCATTCTCGTCTCTTATAGCATTCATCATAGGCTGTTTTGTATGTCCCCTGGCAGTTCTTACAAGTTTCCAGAACATTTTAATATTTGCCTGGAAATTATCCGATATTCTTCTATCATTCTTATCCGTTCTTTCTTGCTTTTTACTTTCAACTACTTCTTTTACTCTCTTATTAAGATGTCTAAAGACTGCCTTTTTTCTTTCAATATCATCATTCGTACCGCTAGAATTACCAGCCTTTGTTGCTAGTAAATCTAGCCATGCTCTCTTCTTTGCTTCAACTTCCATACGTACCTCATCATCCCACCATAACGTATTATTTTTCCTTTCATTCTTTCTCTTACTAACACCACATACTTCGGTAGCTGCATCCACTAAACCTTTCTTTACATTTTGCCATACAATCTCCAAGTCTAACTCCTTCATACATAATTCATCCAAACCACTTATATTTTCTTTCAGTCTACATTTGAACTTGTTTTTCTCACCTTCATCTTGTAACCTTTCTGTTCTAATACGCTGTAACGCAGTGGTAGACACAAATCATCGATGGCGCCAACGCCTGAATAGACCATTAATTCGGCATAAAACCAAATAATGATCCGTTCCTACGTTAGAACCCTGGAAAACCCTTGTATCCACCACTGCGCCCCTCAATCTTTCATCCACAATTATTAAATCTATCATGCTTCTATCGTCACCTCTTTCCCAAGTATACATGTGAATCCTCTTGTGGCGAAAGCAAGTGTTCGTCACAAAAAGATTCTTTTCCATACATACGGTGAGGAGACTTTCACCATTCTCATTTATACTTTCATTACCAAACGTTCCCAATATCCTTTCATAACCAAGCCTCCTCACCCCAACCCTTCCATTAAAATCTCCTAGCATAATAATATTTTCATTTCCCTTACACTTCATTAACACCATCCTTACCATTTCCCAAAACTGCTCTCGGATATAAGTGGGCTTAGACATGTCTGGGGCGTAGATTCCTAACACAAACAACTTCTTTAAGCCCACTTTCATTCGTATCCATAGCAGTCTTGGGCTTACACATTCATACTCTTTCACACATTGGCCCATTATTTCTGAAAGGATGATACCTACTCCCTGGCATGCCCGCTCGATCTCGTCTACACCAGACCAGTATGCGGTATACATGCCATGTGTAGTGACATCCTTCCCCTTCCTTTTCGTCTCATTTACACATCTATTCCTCTATCATACATCATATCGCATACTTCATCCATTTTATCATTCATTGCCCCACATACATTCAACGTAGCCAGACGGGCCTCTGCAATCCACTTTTCGCCTCTCCGGGAGACAAAACGTGACGGGTGGCGAACCTCGTCGCCGGTTTTCCTCCCGGAGATTCTTCGCACCCCTGCCCCATTAAAGGGGCGCCGGGAACTCGGGGTCATTTCTTTTATATGGTTCCTCATGGTTCGGATAAAGGGTAGTATATTGTACGCCTCTACCACGACGTGGAGCCGAGTATGTGCTATCGGCTTGTCGCTTATTTAGCACCACCCGGGGGATACGTGTAGGGTGGGCCTAGGAATAGGTGGTCAAAGCCTACGGACGCGAGCGACTTATCTTATAATATCAAAACATATGTATCCTGACTCCTGTATGTCTTGGACCTCACAGGTTAATGAGGTCAGTAGAAAAATGTTTGCTGCGTTAAGCTCTTTACGTAGATTACGTCATTTTCTTCCCACAGCAACTAAAGTTACGCTTGCCCAGTCTCTACTTCTGCCTATCCTTGACTATGCTGATATTTGCTATCTTGACATTACCGAGGAGCAGCTTAATAAGCTTGAGCGCATTCAAAATTTATGCATTAGGTTTATATTTGGGCTTCGCAAATATGATCATATCTCCGAATTTCGCTAACAGCTCAAATGGCTCCCGATCCGCCTTCGCACGAATACTCACATTCTCTCCGCGTTTTATAGTGTGCTGTTTGATCCTTCTACTCTTCTTTATTTAAAAAACCGTTTCCAGTATCTTTCTCTTACCCATAATCGATTCCTTCGAACCTCCGTCAATCTTTCTCTCTCTACACCTTTGCACTCTTTTTCCTTTTTCAAGAAATCCTTCACCGTAACCGCTGTGCGATTGTGGAACTCCTTACCTCTCCATATTCGTCGTGCTAAATCTCTTCACTCTTTCAAAATTCTTGTTAAATCGTATTATTTAGAACGCTGTTAGATAAATTACTTTACCTTTCTCGTACTTTTTTCATTTAATCTACTATATGATATTTTATATATAACTTTCACTTATTTTTACTTGTATGTATTATTGTATTTTTATTATTATTTTGGGGTATCTATATAGTTTTCTCATCTGGTTGGGTGCTATAAATATATAATTATAAATGAAAATGAAAAGACAAATATACATAAATATCAATAACATAAAATAAATATAAAAGTACATAAATAAATAAAAGCCCAACCAGATGGAGGCCCTCGGCAGGGGAGACCAAACGGCCGAGGGTTAGGGCAAAGGGAAAGAAACCGGCGGACGATGCGGGCGGTATCGAGGAGCACCGCCTTCTGCATTTGAAACTGGAGCGGTCCGCCACGTAGTCCCAGCCGCCTCAGATGACCCGAGAGGCTGACTGGGATTAGCCCGTTTGCAGAGACGACTACAGGAATAATTTCGGTCGGCAGACCACCCCACATGTCGGTCACCTCGTGAGCCAGGTCCAGATATTTTGTTTGCTTGTCTGTTTCGGCTTTCACGAGGTTCTCGTCATACGGAATGGTAATGTCGACCAAAAATATCCTTGACTGTGCCCGGTCCATCAGCACAATATCAGGCTTATTCGCAAGAATAGTCCTGTCTGTGATGATGGCACGGTCCCAATAGAGCCTGGCGCGATCATTTTCGAGCACGGCTTCCGGCAAGTACTTGTAATACGGCAATTTCCGATCCACGAGACCGTATTTCAGAGCGAGCTCCTGGTGTAGAATTCTGGCTACTAGGTTGTGCCTGTGCAAGTACTCAGAGTTAGAAAGCGCCGAACAACCGGAGATAACATGCCTAAGTGACTCACCGGGATGGCGACAAGCTCGACAGATGTCGACGGTGCCATCCTTTAGGATGTATCTCCGATAGTTGTTGGTCTTAATAACCTGATCCTGTATTGCACAGACAAAACCCTCGGTTTCCCCGAAGAGATCACCAAAGCGTAGCCAGTGGAGGGAGGCTACTGTGTCTACGAAAGGCTCATGTAGAGCCTTGTAGAACCTCCCGTGGAGCTCCTTCTCCTTCCATACGGTCTCCCGGTCGGAAATGCTCTGCACTGCCGGGTCTTGCCATTGCTCGTTGGCTAAGGATAGAGGGGTAAGTCCTTTATCACAAGAAATGACGTCCTTATAGAATGGATCATCCGATCTCGCCAGGAAGTAATCACGGAGGCTGCACACTTCGCGATTATGCATGGTGAGCGCGCTCAAGAAGCCACGACCACCATGCTTCCGCGGCAAGTACAGCCTCATTACCGACGATCTCGGATGATGCATCCTATGGGACGTCATTGTAGTGCGGACTTTTCTATCCAGGGCGTTATGTTCAGTCTGAGTCCACCTGAGTATGCCAAAGGTATACATGAGGACAGGCATGACCCAGCCGTTATATGCGTGTGCCTTATTCACACCGGACAAAAGGCTGTTAAGCACTTTGGTCAAGCGTGCATAAAACACGTCGCAAACTGACTGTTTCATACCAGTCTCATCGATACCGATGTTTTGTGACATACCCAGGTATCGGTATGTTTCAGCCTCGGAAAGGGTCCTTAAGTTGACGGGCATAGATAAGTCTACGCCCTCAGAGTTAGCAACCCGTCCCCTTTCAACATGGAGGACCGCACACTTATCCGTTCCCAGCTCCATTCCAATAGAATTGCTAAATTCACAAGTGATGTTTAACAATTCCATAAGATGGGAGCGACTGGAGGCGAATAACTTGAGGTCATCCATATAGAAAAGGTGGGTCACTTTTGTCCCTCCTTTCCGTAGCTGAAATCCCCTCCCGGAGCCCTCCAGTAAGGTACTGAGAGGGTTCAGAGAGAGGCAGAACCAGATTGGACTCAGACAATCGCCCTGGAAGATACCCCTTCTTATCCTTATGTGGTTCTCCGCAGCCATCATCCGCTCGCCTAGATGACAAAGGATCGTACTCCACTGCCCCATACACTGCTCGAGGAAGTCTCTAACTGTACAGTCTATCTTGTACAGCTCGAGGACTCTCTTTAGCCATGTATGGGGCACCGAGTCGAATGCCTTTCTGTAGTCTATCCAGGCGGCGGAGAAGTTCCGACGGTTGCGTTTCACCACTTTGCCAATGACCGCGTCAATGAGGAGTGGTTCCTTGGTTCCACGACCACCGCCCCGACATCCATTTTGAGCGCGCGACATCACCTGATTTGAGTCCAGGTGACAAGTGATTCTCGCGCTCAAAATGGATGTTAGTGTCTTGTATATGGTCGGTAGACACGTGATGGGGCGGTATTTGCTCGGGTCTGTGGTACCCTGGTCTTTAGGAACTAAATGAGTGATCCCAGTAGTGAAGAGGCTTGGGAGCGACTTCTGGTTGAGAGCCTCTTGAAACTGTCGGGCGAGCACAGAGTGACACACCATGAACCCCTTCAGCCAGTAGTGATGCAGCCCGTCAAGCCCCGGACTTTTCCAGTTCGGGGCCCTACGAACCGCCTCAGCTACGTCATCCGGCGTTATGATGACGGGGTCCATGGGCGTAATACCCGCACACTGACTCGCCACAACTTCCGTCCAAGGGCCCTCGCTGTGGTTTACGGGCTCTGACCACAGGCCGCGCCAGAATGCTACAGTGTCGGCCTGATCCGGTGCTGGACCCGTTCCACTTACCATTGGTCGCTCCAATGATTCATAGAGCCTCTTCTGATCACTCTGGAAGAGACGATTCTGGTTGAACCGTGTCGACCTCTCGGTATATCGCCGAATCCGCTTTCCCCAAGCAGCGATTCTCTGCTTCAGATCATCTATGCGCTCCGTCAGTTTTTGCGTTATATCCGGCTGGGACAAACTGACATTTGTCCCAGCAAACGCCATCCTGACGGTGCGCACAATTCTTGGCCTGTTGTTGCCTGATCTGAAGCATATCAGTCTGCCGATGAGAGCTCTAGCCTTTGCGATACGTTCCTCAATTCTTCTTCTCCATGCTGGGATAGCGCTACTATGGCCAGTAGCGCGTCCAGCCGTGGAAACCTTGGCGCCTATGATACGGCAGACTGCCAGCGCGGCGCCAAAAAGAATTGAGTCCGTCTCGCAAAGGTCCCGGCTGGCTTCCAAATAGGTAACCAGCATTGGGTTCAGAGCCCTCACGACAGCCCGATTCCGCTTGCTTAGGGCTATGCGTGGAAGTCGCGGTCGATTTTCGAGAGGCGTACTGCGCGTTTCCACAATCGCCTCTTCCAATATACTCCTCATATGCTCTAATTCCAGTTCCTGGGCGACTGTTCCATCATCGTTTGAATCAACCACAACTGGGGTATTCACGGCGGCATCCACGTTTGCGGGTTGCTCTACCATTTGTGGCGCCGCATCCTCAGCCGTAGCATTCTCATCCGACGAGGGAACAGCCTCACGTCGTAGCCGTTCGAGTTCGGCGACATCAAATATATTTGAGCGCAAGATATACCGAACTCGGTCTGCCAGGTTTTGCTCTGTGACGATTAAAGATGGCTCCAGCTCAGCAAAAAGACGATGCATCCTAGCCCGATACGCCAAACATCCAGTTTCTTCCCCTTTTGCCCTAAAGTACGCCCGCAGTGCGTTTGCATTCATTTCTTGTGACCAACGCATGCGACGTGCTCCACCAGCGGCGGGTGCCGCTTGCTGAGTCCGAGAAGACCCAGCCGACACCAAGCCTTCTGGTGGGGATGATGGATGCGGAGGGCTGGTAGATGACCGTGCAGCTCCTCGCGCTCGGCTGGCGGCCCGCATGCTGCCGCGTCCAGCGCCAGCTCCAGACGCGCCCCGGCGACCCCCAGGCAGCGGCCCTTTGCGCACTATCTTTTTTATCCATCATCCATTATTTGGGCGTCCATTAACGGGAGACGCCCAGGCCCGGCACCGTTTCGTGTGTAGCCATAAGCACAAACGGGCCTCTGCACCCTAAATTCTGCCGCGGCACGGCGCTCACACCTCTCGCAAGGCGCTGACTGACTGCGTTGACGTAGCAGTTTTGTCACTTAACTGTTACGTCAGCGGGCGATGGGGTCGTCAATTCCCTACGCCTTTTATTATTATTATTATTATTATTTTGTATGCCTCCCTCTATTTGTAACGTTTGTTTGCAACATTCCTCTACGCAAAGGTTGTCTGGAAGAAATCACTTTCGGTGATAAGACCGCCTATTGTACATACTTTAATTAGTTTTAACTATATTGATGTTTCTGTATTGTGGTGTACAAAAAAAGAATAAATAAATAAAATAAATAAAAAACATATACATTATTTATAAAAGTACCTATGAAGTAAAAAAATTATTATATATATTTATAAAATTGTGTAGGTTGTAGGATGTTGGTATTCGCTTTGTGGTCGCAGTACATTTTGAACTTGTAAAAACCTGAGAGTCGCAGTCTCAGAGCTTCGCTACCTTGCACTGACTTGTTCAATTCGTCACTCTATAAAGACGAATGTGGGACAAATACGTTTATTCGTTTCCTGAATCTTGAAAAGGAAAATGCTAAGAAAATATTTTAAAAAATATAAACGGATAGTACATCACACAAATTATAGTGAGTCAGTGTTATTTTGTTTGAGAGTGCTGGAGAAAATTAAGTACATTAGTTTTTATTAAATTTTAATTTTGTACTCGTAATTAGCGAAGTTAGATAAATTACGCCAATCATGACTTTAGTTATTAGTAGTTTAATATTCAAATCATGCAAAATTACACGAGTACACCACAATAGTTTCTTTTTGAAAGTTTTAGCAATCGGTATTATAATTACAGTGCAATCTCCGTAATTCAAGCTAATTGTTGCAAGAAGATGTTCGAATTACGGAATGTTTTCTGAAAAATCAAAAAATATTTTTAATTTACAGCTGCTGGATTTTCTGTCTTATTTAAATAATTTAATTTTGCCCACAGATGACTGATACCATGCCCGAATCTAAAAAGAAATGTAAACAGTACAGTGTCGATTATTTGAAATTTGGCTTCATTCCATCATTGCCGGACAAACAATTGCCTATGTGCCTTTTATACAACAAAGTTTTGGGCAATGACGCTATGAAACCATGTAAAATGCAAGATCAACTGAGAAGATGCCACCCTGATAAAACAGAGAAAGATTTGAAATACTTTCAAACACTCAAAGGTAAACTTCAGAAGAGACCTACACTGGACAGAATGTTCGCTTCGACGTCACAAAGAAATGATGATGGTTCGCGGGCGTCTTACAATATCTCGTTACTTATAGCAAAAAACCGGAAAACCGCATACTATCGGGAAGAAGTTAATTTTGCCATCCGTTGAAGAGGTTTTAAAAACTGTTTTATACAAACCTGCATCTGATATCATTAAAAGAATTCTCTTAAGCAACCATACTGTTGAAAGACGTATTGATGAAATGAGTTCTGATATTGAAAGCTTCTTATGTAATTATTTGCAAACGACCCATTTCTCTATACAACTGGACGAGTCAACTTTACCTGATAATGCAGAATTATTATTGGCATATGTTCGTTTTATTATGAATCAAGAAATCTACGAAGAACTGCTCTTCGCAAGAACTTTGATAACCGACACTAAAGGTGAATCAATATTTCATGTTTTGAAGGATTACTTCATTGAAAAAGCAATTCCTTTATCAAATATAATATCAGTAGCTGCAGATGGAGCACCTGCCATGGTTGGACGTTATCGTGGATTTATAAGCTATTTAAAACAAAATGTGTCAGTGGTGTTAGCAATACATTGTGTCATCCATGGACAACATTTAGTTGCTAAAAATTTGAGTGTTAGATTGCATGGATCACTTTATTTAGTCATTGATGCAGTAAACCGAATCCGAAGCAAAGCGTTGAATACGCGGTTATTTGCGCAGTTGTGTGAAGAAAATGACGAACACTTTCATCAATTACTCCTTCACACTGAAGTACGCTGGCTGTCGAAAGGCTTATGTTTGACAAGATTTTTTGCACTTTTTGAGACTATTTCAGAATTTCTGGATACTAAAGATAAAATTTTAAAAGAAAATTTAATGGAGAGGAAAACAGACATCGCCTATTTAACAGATTTGTTTACAAAAATTTAATATGGTTAATTTGCAATTACAAGGCGACAGTTTAAATTTGATTAAAACAAAGTCCATCTTATCAGCGTTTCTTGCCAGAGTTAACTAATGAAGCAAAATATTGGATGGGGCGAATTTTCTCAGTTCCCCAATTCGTCACAGACAAGCTGCCAGGAAGACGACGTTTCAACTAACGTTCAACATTTAAATGCCCTCTATTCAGATTTTGAATCTAGGTTTGAGAATATTTTGACTATGGTAATACCACCGTGGATAATTAATCCATATGGTGACATAGAAGAAACGAATGTCATAATACAAGAGGAACTGACTGAACTAAGTACAAACGAAGAACTTAAGGTTCAGTTTAAAAACAGATATCAGCAATTCTGGCTGCAAAACAACATACCCATTACTTATCCCGTATTATGGAATATAGCGAGGAAATTTTTAATTTCCTTTCCATCATACCTAGTGGAAAGGGGATTCAGCGCTGTTATCAATCTCCAAACGAAAGAAAGAAACAGACTGGAAATCATTAGCCGAGGAGATTTAAGATTAACCCTTACAAAATTGACGCCAAATGTTGATAATTTATTATTAAAGCATCAGGTTCATCCTTCTCACTAAAAATATTGACTTATTGCTTATGTTATTTTATTTATAGTTTGTTTTATGCTTATTTAATGCTACGTATATTTTACATAACACATACAAAATTTTATTTTGAGTAGTTTTAATTTAAATTCAATTAATAAATGTATAAATTAACATGTGTTTTTACTTTAAGTTTTTAACACTAAACTTCACTACAATTAGAAATTTACAGGAAATCAATATCAGGTAAGTAGGGGGTCTACCCAACACGGAAAAACATGACAAGGAGTTTTCGACACAAAAAAGTTTGGGGAACTCTGGTATAGATGGTTTAACACTATCAATAACTATTTCACTATTTATAGTGAAATAGCTATTTATGCTTGCTGGCTTACCATCCCCTGCACACTCACGAACCCAATATACCATTAGTCATCTTTTACGACATGCTAAACATGTAACACAGTTGCCACAATTAGTTCTAGACCAACATGGAATATCAATCAGTCAATCAATCAATCAAAATATTTTTCATGGTACACCAATTCACATTAAATTAAAATTTGAAGGTTCAATAGGTGGTTTTATCCCTCTGCAAGTGATTTCTTTCCTTTATATTATTTTCTTTTCCTTTTCGGGCAATGAACTGTTTACATAGGAGGCGAATAGGAAAGGTATAAAAATTAAACAATTAAGTAAAATAAAAATAAAAACTCAAAAAATGACAGTTGAGGATAGATATGGTAGATACAATAAGGAGTATAATGGGATATATTAGAGCTCCAAGCAGTAATCTATCCATAACACTTAAAAACATAAGCGAGAATAAAGTGAGTTTTACTAGTAATGGTAAAAGAGGTAGCATTTGATCGTAAACATTGCACAATGACCATGTCGACGAACCGAGCTGGTTGCAACGACGCGGATTTGCCCAATGTGGGGTATAATGTCTTGCATGGCAATGCTAAAGGCTTTTCGTATCACTTTATCTAGAACTAGATGTAAGAAGTAAAATAATTTGGTAAGGAAGTTGATGGATACAGATGACTCAGAACCATGATTTGTGGCATTCTTTGGGTATGGCTTATGTCAGAAGTAATGATGATGTTATCTCGTATACTTATGCCATATTAAAAATACTAGCGCGGGATTTGAAATAAAAGAATGACAAACCGAAAATTACGATAAAAAACAATAAATTATACAAAGGTACTATTGGCGGTCTCTATTGCTTAGAAGCGACCATTGCAGAGGACGTAATGACCTGTGGGAAAGGGTAAGGGTGTACGTAGGTTGTTGGAAATTACACACGACATACTACTAGACTAAGGCCTTTTTTAAGAATGTGCCGTACACGTTGTTACACTGGAATTTCAATATTTTAAGCGTTACTTAGTTCGATAGTCGACAATGAGATGGTAATAACGCCATCTATCGAAACCAAAACTTTTTCTGCCACCAGGGTGGCGTCACTTTGGTTGAAGCGGGGGGAAATTAATTTGTTATAAAAGTGTAAAGATTAATGTTTCTGTCTGAAATATTCGTCATATTTTATATTAATTAGATTAGAAATGGTAAAATCGTCGGCTTGAGTGAACGTATAAAATAAAGTGGATGGGGCTCTACACTCTACTATGAAGAGTCAGAATGTGTCAAAAAAAGCACGTATCGTAATTCATAATGCTGTGTTAGTCCCTACTTTTATGTATGGTAGTGAAAGTTGGGTGTGGCAGATGAAGCACAAAAGTAGAATAAATGCTGTAGAAATGCGGTCTTTAAGGACTATCCTATGGCTGAATCTGAATGACAGGGTGAGAATTTGCGTGTTAAGAAAAAAAGTGTGCAAGATGATGTTGTGACCAGGATTAAGAAGGGAATGCTTCTTTGGTGGTTTGATCATGTAGAAATAATGAACAAGGAAATAGCGACAAAGCAAATTTATATTGCATATGTGAATGGTAGAGTCGTTAAAGGACGCTTAGACGTATATATGTATATAATACATTAGGAGTAAAACGACGAGCGTGTAGGTATGCGTAGAAATATATGGATGTAATGGAGACGAGAGAGGTATGTTAGGATCGCGCCAAATGGAAGTCCGTAGTCGTAATGTTTATGCATGTATGTATATATGAAATGGATAAACCAAACAAAATTGCTAAAAGTATAAGAATTTAAAAAAAAATTGAAAAATGTGTAAAAAAAATACGGATACAACACTATGACATGGTTTTATGTATATACATACACTTATAGACCGAAAAGCTTTTATTTTTAAAACGTAGCTTTTTATTGATAATGACACTGTATGACCATCTCCGTAATAAATTACTTTAGTGACAACTAGCGACATCTGTTGGTACAAAATGTGGTGATAAAATCTCTTACGCAACTACCTCACGTTGGGTTGAATGGTCTAAGACAGGGATGGCATACCAACGCCACGCGTGCCATCAATGGCACACGACACTGTATTTTGAGCACGTCATAAAAACACAAAATTCACTATGAATTATTATAATACGAAAGAATCCGAGTGATCCTAGTTACAACGTGTACTACTACTGCCAATTACCACAGATTACCCCCTAAGGTAAAAGGCTATAACAATGATGATGATGAAATGAACTTTGTTCTAATTACGCATAGTTCGTTTCATCATCATCATCATCGTTTCAGCCTTTTTTACAAGTCCACGCCTCCCTCAAGGAATGCACAGTTCGTTTAGGCATAGAATAATAGTCAATTTCGTTGACACAACTATATTTAATAGTTCAGTATAGTTATATATTAAATAGTTATATTTATGATTTTACAACTCCAATATAAGTTATTCGTCATCTGATCTGCAACCACAGAAATCACACTGATGTTACTTTAATGAATCACGCGTACAACTGAAACATTTATTATTTTACAACTCCAATATAAGTTATTTGTCATCTGATCTGCAACCACAGAAATCACACTGATGTTACTTTAGTTTGAATCACGCATATAACTGAAACATTTATTATTTTACAACTCCAATATAAGTTATTTGTCATCTGATCTGCAACCACAGAAATCACACTGATGTTACTTTAATTTGAATCACGCGTACAACTGAAACATTTATTATTTTACAACTCCAATATAAGTTATTTGTCATCTGATCTGCAACCACAGAAATCACACTGATGTTACTTTAATTTGAATCACGCGTACAACTGAAACATTTATTATTTTACAACTCCAATATAAGTTATTTGTCATCTGATCTGCAACCACAGAAATCACACTGATGTTACTTTAGTTTGAATCACGCGTATAACTGAAACATTTATTATTTTACAACTCCAATATAAGTTATTTGTCATCTGATCTGCAACCACAGAAATCACACTGATGTTACTTTAGTTTGAATCACGCGTATAACTGAAACATTTATTATTTTACAACTCCAATATAAGTTATTTGTCATCTGATCTGCAACCACAGAAATCACACTGATGTTACTTTAATTTGAATCACGCGTCTAACTGAAACATTTATTATTTTACAACTCCAATATAAGTTATTTGTCATCTGATCTGCAACCACAGAAATCACACTGATGTTACTTTAATTTGAATCACGCGTACAACTGAAACATTTATTATTTTACAACTCCAATGTAAGTTATTTGTCATCTGATCTGCAACCACATAAATCACACTGATGTTACTTTAATTTGAATCACGCGTCTAACTGAAACATTTATTATTTTACAACTCCAATATAAGTTATTTGTCATCTGATCTGCAACCACAGAAATCACACTGATGTTACTTTAATTTGAATCACGCGTCTAACTGAAACATTTATTATTTTACAACTCCAATATAAGTTATTTGTCATCTGATCTGCAACCACAGAAATCACACTGATGTTACTTTAGTTTGAATCACGCATATAACTGAAACATTTATTATTTTACAACTCCAATATAAGTTATTTGTCATCTGATCTGCAACCACAGAAATCACACTGATGTTACTTTAATTTGAATCACGCGTACAACTGAAACATTTATTATTTTACAACTCCAATATAAGTTATTTGTCATCTGATCTGCAACCACAGAAATCACACTGATGTTACTTTAATTTGAATCACGCGTACAACTGAAACATTTATTATTTTACAACTCCAATGTAAGTTATTTGTCATCTGATCTGCAACCACAGAAATCACACTGATGTTACTTTAATTTGAATCACGCGTCTAACTGAAACATTTATTATTTTACAACTCCAATATAAGTTATTTGTCATCTGATCTGCAACCACAGAAATCACACTGATGTTACTTTAATTTGAATCACGCGTCTAACTGAAACATTTATTATTTTACAACTCCAATATAAGTTATTTGTCATCTGATCTGCAACCACAGAAATCACACTGATGTTACTTTAGTTTGAATCACGCATATAACTGAAACATTTATTATTTTACAACTCCAATATAAGTTATTTGTCATCTGATCTGCAACCACAGAAATCACACTGATGTTACTTTAATTTGAATCACGCGTACAACTGAAACATTTATTATTTTACAACTCCAATATAAGTTATTTGTCATCTGATCTGCAACCACAGAAATCACACTGATGTTACTTTAATTTGAATCACGCGTACAACTGAAACATTTATTATTTTACAACTCCAATATAAGTTATTTGTCATCTGATCTGCAACCACAGAAATCACACTGATGTTACTTTAATTTGAATCACGCGTACAACTGAAACATTTATTATTTTACAACTCCAATATAAGTTATTTGTCATCTGATCTGCAACCACAGAAATCACACTGATGTTACTTTAATTTGAATCACGCGTACAACTGAAACATTTATTATTTTACAACTCCAATATAAGTTATTTGTCATCTGATCTGCAACCACAGAAATCACACTGATGTTACTTTAATTTGAATCACGCGTACAACTGAAACATTTATTATTTTACAACTCCAATATAAGTTATTTGTCATCTGATCTGCAACCACAGAAATCACACTGATGTTACTTTAATTTGAATCACGCGTACAACTGAAACATTTATTATTTTACAACTCCAATATAAGTTATTTGTCATCTGATCTGCAACCACAGAAATCACACTGATGTTACTTTAATTTGAATCACGCGTACAACTGAAACATTTATTATTTTACAACTCCAATATAAGTTATTTGTCATCTGATCTGCAACCACAGAAATCACACTGATGTTACTTTAATTTGAATCACGCGTATAACTGAAACATTTATTATTTTACAACTCCAATATAAGTTATTTGTCATCTGATCTGCAACCACAGAAATCACACTGATGTTACTTTAATTTGAATCACGCGTACAACTGAAACATTTATTATTTTACAACTTCAATATAAGTTATTTGTCATCTGATCTGCAACCACAGAAATCACACTGATGTTACTTTAATTTGAATCACGCGTACAACTGAAACATTTATTATTTTACAACTCCAATATAAGTTATTTGTCATCTGATCTGCAACCACAGAAATCACACTGATGTTACTTTAATTTGAATCACGCGTACAACTGAAACATTTATTATTTTACAACTCCAATATAAGTTATTTGTCATCTGATCTGCAACCACAGAAATCACACTGATGTTACTTTAATTTGAATCACGCGTACAACTGAAACATTTATTATTTTACAACTCCAATATAAGTTATTTGTCATCTGATCTGCAACCACAGAAATCACACTGATGTTACTTTAATTTGAATCACGCGTACAACTGAAACATTTATTATTTTACAACTCCAATATAAGTTATTTGTCATCTGATCTGCAACCACAGAAATCACACTGATGTTACTTTAATTTGAATCACGCGTACAACTGAAACATTTATTATTTTACAACTCCAATATAAGTTATTTGTCATCTGATCTGCAACCACAGAAATCACACTGATGTTACTTTAATTTGAATCACGCGTACAACTGAAACATTTATTATTTTACAACTCCAATATAAGTTATTTGTCATCTGATCTGCAACCACAGAAATCACACTGATGTTACTTTAATTTGAATCACGCGTCTAACTGAAACATTTATTATTTTACAACTCCAATATAAGTTATTTGTCATCTGATCTGCAACCACAGAAATCACACTGATGTTACTTTAATTTGAATCACGCGTACAACTGAAACATTTATTATTTTACAACTCCAATATAAGTTATTTGTCATCTGATCTGCAACCACAGAAATCACACTGATGTTACTTTAATTTGAATCACGCGTACAACTGAAACATTTATTATTTTACAACTCCAATATAAGTTATTTGTCATCTGATCTGCAACCACAGAAATCACACTGATGTTACTTTAATTTGAATCACGCGTCTAACTGAAACATTTATTATTTTACAACTCCAATATAAGTTATTCGTCATCTGATCTGCAACCACAGAAATCACACTGATGTTACTTTAATGAATCACGCGTATAACTGAAACATTTATTATTATACATTGCAAAATGTATTTTGCAATGTATAAATGTCTCAATTTTACTCTTTATTATTTTTTTGTTGTAAATAAAGAGTTTTGAGTCGAAAGTATTTAGCACTATTACTTTCCCAATATTACTAAGTCATAATTATTTTACGGCACGTCTATTACTTGATTAAACATTTCTTAAAAATGGCACGTTGGTACATAAAGGTTCGCCACCCCTGGTCTAAGACCTCTCGGCACCAAAAGTATATATCCATTACCATCTATTAAAACCTACAAAAGTTCACAGTTAAACACATGCCCAAAGATTTCCTCATAGGGATTTTTTTTTCTTTCTTTTGTAAAAACTTTACCCCACACTAGAATTTTCTTCTGTACCGTGGGGGCAGTTTACATACATAAATTGCACAAGGACAAACATCCAGACCCAGAACAATTACTTGTAGGCCATACAAATACTTGTTACGTGCGGGATTCGAACCCGCGGCTCTCAGCGCTGTAACTCTTTGATAAGCTACTGCGACACGGCCGTCAAATACCATAGCAATTGCAGTTTTTGATATTTAGAGCTGTTATCAGGATGATGCTGCTACCATTCTGCTGCTTCAGTTTTCCTCGGTCGCCTTTACACGGTTTGAGTTATATACTCTGTCGCTTATAATTATTTTTAACCCAAACTCAAGAGTAGAAGTGTTACATACCTATCCTTCTACCAAAATATAATATACTAATACCTTTTGACTTATCACGCAACGTTATACTTGTTGCAGGGATGATGAAAGCATTAGAAAGAGAAGCATAAGGTCTTCTTTAAAGAGAAGAGTCTGTATTCAATGCGGTGGAGATATTGAAGGAGGCGGCGTGCCGTGTGTGTGCCACCACTACAAGTGAGCATGTTTTTATTGTATTCGACATCATTAAAAATAGTGTTCATTGCAAAACCCCACCACAAAACCATTCCTGAACAAAACCCCCCTCATAGTGGATATGTTTGCTGCAGATGGTTCGTATTTTTTTTAAATAAACTAAGAGTGTCAAATAAACACAGTCCACCTGATGGTAAGTGGATCCTGTAACCGATAGACATCTACATTTATCCTCAATTAAGAATCAAACTGCAGATACGTTTTCACCCCTGAGGACAAAGATGGAATGTACCGTTTCCAGTAAAAAGGGTCTCCAGTTCTCTACACTCACCATACGAAACACAACAGCATTATGCTGCTATTTTACGGTGTTAATACATTATCTTTACATTAACGTCAGTCTCTTCATTTATTCATTTCATTACATCATACTAGAGCAGAAGTTTCTACGAACCAGTAGTAAATAATAATTAATTTTTATTAATCTTTTATATTAATCAAACAAGTGGTAAAATTAAAAATGTTGTACAACCGACTTGAATATAAATAAAATGAGAAAATCATCAATGTACTCGAAGTCAAATAAATACGCATTATTAAGAATAACTCATAAACTACTGGTCAGATCTTGGTAAATTTTTATGGGACCACACGAGAAGCACCAACTTCCAAATAAAAAAAAAATCATGAAGGTAACACACATTAAAAAAAACATTCAGTCGAATTGAGTACCTCGTCCTTTTTAAAGTCGGTTAAAAAAGTGTAGTAACAATTTCACTGGTGCCGGCGGCATCGGCAATTGAACTCGAGGTGCTCGCGTGCTGTCAAACTCACTGAGCTGCAACGATTTAAAAATAAAATAAAAAGGTAATAAAAGACAATAATTTTCAGGCCCGTCAAGTTCGAGTCTGGTGCGTGGTTCCTTCGTCAAATACAACGAGCGCTCACTCTTATGCCGTGGTCCATCAGCACTGATAAGCTGGAGCAGATAGGTAAGTTCATAGTAAGTTCATTAACTTATTTTTAATTCCCGACGTTTCGAGTGCTTTGCGGCACCCGTGGTTACGGGGAGGACCATAGAGGAAAGTAATACATCGGCTAGGGAGGACTGAGATGTTTGACGTCCTAATGTCATAGTTAGCCCGGCTCCCTTTAGTTTATTAATATTCATTTTTGGTCCGATCTACGCAGGACGAGCTTACAGTATTTTCAAACGTCGGGAATTAAAAATAAGTTAAAAAAACGGATATAATCCGCGTAAATAGTTTTATTCAGTGTGTAGTGTTCGCGTAAATATAACAAATAATTAGGTAAGTTCATATATAATTACTATACAGATGGAAATATTGGTTCATCTCATCATCGTTTTTATTACAATCCTTCACACGTCTACTGCTAAACATAGCTTCTCAGCTTGTTTCAGTCCACTACTGGACAACGGCCTCTCTTAAAAACGTCACGTTGCCTTGTTTTCGGATACTTATCCAATAGGGTATTTTACACCATGTAAAATAAAGTCAAAAAATATATATTTATTATAGATTTTGTAAAAAGTAAACGAGAAATATCGATTTCTGTTTATAAAATTGCATTGTAAATTTTATATTTCAACTTTAAGAATATTTTTTTTCACCTGTGCCTCAAATCTGCAAAACGCCGTCCGCCGTATTAGAGACTGTCGTGACGTCACTGATCTCGCGCTTAAGCTTAAGGGTGTTAGTGTTATGTTAATTAATATAAAGAGAACTAGCTAATGTGCTGTGTTATTTAGACATTTTCAAGTTATCATTACGATCATTGAGTTTTATTCCGAATTTTATTGAAAAGGCATCACGGAATACTAAATCGTAAAAGCAGAAAGTACTAATCTACCAAGGATAGGGATAGGATAGGGTGACAAACGAGCACACAGTCAAACTGATGTAAGTGGTTGCTGCGGCCCGTAGACATCTACATCTATCCTCGTTTGCAAATCAAAATGCAGATGCGTTGTCACCCGTAAGAACTAAGATTGAGTGTAAAAAGGATCTCCGGTTCTCTACACTCACCATACGAAACACATCAGCGTTAAGCTAACTATTTGACGCTGGTATTCTATAAGGATAAATAAATTGATGGTGGCAAATTTTTTTACATACAATCTCAATTTTTGTTCTGCTGAGTTGAGGTATGTTAAAACATATGTGTTACGCCCTCTAATGAAACATAGCAATACTACGTTGAATATTTATTAGGAAAACATTTTAGCTATTTCCCATTAGGTGACGCTATATAAGGTAGAAACCCGTATTAGGCACGTCGTCAATCACTAACATATTTGTATATAAATGTGACGTTACTGGATAAACTGACACTTATTACAATAATTTTTCTTTCTTCTAGAAAAATCTACTACATCATATAATCTCTAGATACACTTCTATCTCTCTTTAGATATACGTTATTCTTACGATAATAAACCGAAATCACGTTAATTTTTGTGCTCCGTTCGTGACTACCGGGCATATTTTCTTTTATTTTTTTTTAATTTATGAAACAAATGCGACTTGACATTGTGACGATGTAACTAAGACTAAATGACAAAAATCGGAGATATATGCTATAGGACAAAAGTTACAGACGACAATTTTGTTGCTTATGTCCGGTCTACTACTATACTACTTAAATGTCTTTGATTTAAAACAATTTTTGAAAATGGGTGTAAACCCATGGAGCAAATACAAAGAAACAATAAACAAATTATATTTGCTCCGTGGTAATACCCTATTAGGGGTTAATAACCTCCCACTCACTAGATGTCGCTAGTTGGTACTGAGGAAAAAAGTTTTGTTACATAATGTCATTTAATTGAGAAGTTAGTTATTAATAAAAGTTTATCGGTTCCTAGAGTATTATTATATACAAAAAGCAATACCTCAATAATTTGCTCTTTAATTTTTTGCACGGCTTAACCCTTTTTTTTCTACTCTTAGAAATATCCGTAGTTTGTCGTAATAATTTCTAATTTTATTAATATATAGTAAAACTAATATTACGAAAAGAAACATTAACCATTACATTTTCGTAACAAATTAACTTCTCCGCTATGAAAATCATCGAATAATTCATGTCATTATACAGTGGCGCCGCCCTGGTGGCAGAAAAAAATATCGATGCCGACAGACGTACAAGAATAAAGATATCAACTATGGAGTGTAGGGGTAAGGAGTACAGACTGTGTATTAAAAAGTGTCCGTAGAAAACCGTTAAATAAGGGTAGCGCCACTGTAGCTACGGGATAAATTTTAAAGAACACGCCGAAACATATTAGTAGGATAGACGAATTTTTCAAGGTTGTATTCACTAAATAAAATTATTTTAGATTTTAGAGCTACTGAGCAGTTTAGCAGCACTCTTCACACCATCGACAACCGCTAAGTTCATTGCATGTAGCTGTTTCCTGTAGCTACTCCAGCGCTGTTGTGGAGGGATTTTGAACTGTTATTTATTGCTGACAGATGGACACTTTTTCTACTACTCTCCTATGAGAGATTGTTCTGCTTACCTGTACACTCCATAATATCAACTGCATAGTTTTATCATCTAAATAATTAATATGCCACGTATTTCCACACGTGTACCATTATTTATGTTTAGAAGTAAGAGTAACAAAGAACAATAAAATAGTTCACCTGATGGTGTATCAATGATTTTTTTTCGCCTTTCAATTGAACGTGTTTTATAACAAAAATTGTATTTATTTTATATAATATTTTCTTTAACAGTGGGCCAAATTTTAAATGCCAAAGGAACTTTTGTGCTATTTAATCCGCACGGGTTTATTGCAGTTTATATACCTCATAGATATAGTACAAAAAAACGCAACTAACGATATAAAAATCTAATATATTATCACATAAAAATGTAAAAAAACCAAAAATTCTTGTATTTAATCCACCTATATTGTACTAAGATAGAATGCCTTGGAAAGAGGGTCTCCGGTACTTATCATTCACCATACGAAGCACAGCAGAAGTATGCTGCTATTACATGCCTGCTGTTAGTCCAAGCGCGGTCCATCCCCAGTCGAGTCAAACCATTCGTGCTCCAGCTCCACGTTACTGCACGAATGGGTTCTACCTAATTCCAGCAGGTAGCTATTTGGGACTAAATATTTTCTTTTTAAATATATCCAGAAGAGGAATGCGAGACGAATCCTGGACCGAGCGATGTCTCGCGCGGCGAGCTGCACAGCATCAGAGAATTCCTGGAGTTGCTCTCAGCCAAACTGGCCGGCGGTCCGCTGGAAGGGACCAAAGTCGGCCCTCTGTACGACCATCCCGCATGTACGTATTTAAACTTTTTTATTAATTACAAACTTATTATATTGAATATTAACTACGACATTTTTCGTTCAGTTATATTACGTAATTTCCCAGTACACGAGGTTATGATAAATGTGTAGTTAACATCTTGACTTTTAAAATAGTTTTGAATGTTTAATTTTTAGAAATATATTGCATACTTAAAACTGCTTGCATTTTTAAATAAGATATGCTAATGCCTGTTGCAAAGAAGCTTTATAAATATATTAATTCATAATTAACGACATGACATCATCCCAACGTAATTAACCACTCATGAAGATGGATTTAATATACTTCTGTTAAAATTATAATATTGAAAAAGGTGGTAGAATAATGTGTCGAAAAGTCGTTTCGATCCGAAAAACAACCTTTAGATACAATTCATTTTTTTCTCTTTTTTGTTGTCACTCCTGAGGACCAATATGGAATGTTTCGTTTCTAGCGAAAAGCATCTCCAGTACTCCACACTTATCATACGAACAGCAGATCCTACCCCGGCCTGAACGACCCGTTCGTGCTACAATCATAATACTGCTGTATTATTATTATAATTCATCCAAAGTTAATATAATAAACGGATGAATATTAAAATAAATAAGCTTTATAATCATGTTACCTTGGCTTACTTTGACTTCTGTATACTGGATGTACCACAGAAATAATAAAATTGTCTTATTATTACGATTTCTGTGGGATGTACCTTCTTTACCGTGTGAAAAATAGGGTGTAACATGTGAATGGAGTAGAAGCCTATGGCTATACTGATATTTTACAAAAACTATAAACAAAAATTTTGAATTAGACGTTTGAAAAATTTTTTTGAAAATTACTTTGCCCTTTGCCCTTGAGCCTGTGAGCCCACGAAGTGACAATGTCGAAGATGCCTACTAAATTTATTGTTTTTTGCCGTTCGTAAAGTAGGGTGGATATGATTTGAATGGATAGATTTTAATTAATTTAATTCAAAATGTTTGTTTTTATTTTTTGTAAAATGTTAGTACAGCCACAGGCTTCTACTCCGTTCACATGTTACACCGTATTTCTCCAGACGGTAAAAAAATGTCATCCAGTATAATTGCAATTGGTGTAATGCCGGGGTAAGAGAATCCATTACTCCACCTGTAGTCGTAAAAGACTATGGGGAATGTCAAAAAAGTCTTACGGCTTCCGATTGATTGCATACCGCCATCTTTTTGACGCAAAACGTAAAATATCCAGATCACCAACTAACAGCAGCGTCAGAGGCAAGCCGCCTGCCAACAGTGACTTACCGAGACAAATCTTTTCCACAACGGGACGAACCCAACTCATGAAGTTGAAGGTGATAATTCAATAAGATTTCATCAACTCCGCAGGACGGTGAAACTCAGTGCACACACACACGTCAAAAGATCTCACTCCTCCAAACCAACATCAGATTAAACGTCAAGCTATAAAATCTGAAGTAGGCTCAGGTTCTACACGATTTCATTAACTTTTTAATTTTAATCTGTTAACAATAGTAGAAAGTCAACTTTGTTAAGCCCGTTTGTTTGAAAATCATAAAGTGCAAAAAAATATTTTGTCCCGAACATTGAATTGAAAATTTATTTTCTTACGTCGAAAGAATAAATATATTTATTCCTTCGTTTGAAAATTATTTTCGGTACATAATAACTCTATGGTTCTCACAGTGATTCGAACACAAGACGCGCGACATTTTGACTAAGAACCAAGTACCTACTAAGATCAAAATTACTAAAAAAAATTTCGTTACAGCTTATTGAAGTCCACAACTGAACATATGCCACCAGATAGATTGTTGATTGTCATAGGAGGATATTTGTCATAGTTGCCACTCTTGAAAAGTGATTTGGCAATTGCAGTTTTTTATTTTTAGTCTTTATTAGGAATATGCTGCTGCCCCCCTTCTAATTTGTTTCCCTCTGTCGCCTATTACCGACATAGCCCAACGGATTAGTAAGCTGAAGTGGCAATGGGCCGGCCATATAGCTCGAGGAACCGACAACCGTTGGGGAAAAAAGGTTCTCGAGTGGCAGCCTCGTACCGATAGGTGAAGTGTGTAGGGAGACCCCCCACTAGATGGAGTGACGACGTGGTAAGACATGCAAGAAGTCGATGGATGCAGGTGGCTCAGGACCGTGCTTTGTGGCATACCTTGTGGGAGGCCTAAGTTCAGCAGTGGACTTGTGAAGGGCTGTAATGATGATGATGATGATGTCGTCTCTTACGACACCCACGGGATGATATGGGGTAGATATTCTTACACCGCTTCCACAAATAAACTAAGAACAATACTTTAGCTTAAAATTCACAACCTTGGGCTGTGTAGATACGAACATGTTCGAGCGACACCACAGCACGCTGCGAGACGCTCTCGCCGCCCTGTCGACCGCGCTACAAGACGCGCTCACATGTAAGACATGGTTGGACAGGGTGGAACAGGGTAGCATGCTAGCTAGGTAGCACTTCAAGGCTTTTAACTAGCACTATTTATGCCTTATTTGCACTTTTGAATTTCTTGTATTGCTTGTTCTAAACAACTATTGTGGCTCAGTGTTTTCTGTAGAAGGTTTTCTTAGTAGTAGAGTTGTTGTTTATGAAGTAGTGTAGTTGTATGATTTAAATCGCTTGCAGAGTTAGTTTTATATTCTTATTTGGACTAGAATTTATAAACTATTTAAATATCTTCATCAATGTTTTTGTTGCGCATGTAATTACAGTGTTGGGAAATAGCTATTATTTAAATGTTGCATGCATTGTTTGATATAAAACATTATCCATTTATAGTTGTAGGTACGTATTTACACTTTCGTAATAATTAGACTTGCAACGAACATTGGGTAATTATTCGATATTCGGTTTATTCGATTGAATATTGAATATCTGGATAATATTCGGCTAAATACCAAATACTTGCGTTAGATGTTTTGTTGTAGTAAGATAATTAGTAAAATAAAAATACTTATTTATTTTATAATTATGTATGTTTATTATAATCATTAAAGTAGTCACAGGTACATAAGATCAACTTCCGTATTATAAAAAAATAACAAAACACTTTCAGATAAACGTCTACTAAGCACTTGAATTATCGTAAATAAAATGGAAGATTATGGTGCAGAAAGAATACTTTTTCTGCATTTTCAGATAGAAGTTTACTAATTTTCTTCTCGTAGAAAATGCCAGCTTCCGAGAAATGACGCTCTGAATAAAAAACATTACTTCCTTGCCGACCCCACAGAATATTCGGTATTCGGTGTGTGGCCGAATATATACTATTCGTATAATAATATTAAATTGATTTTTTGTTTTTAAAAATCAGAGAAACAAAAAGAGCTGGTGACATTTAAACGGCTGAATAGATTTTCGCTCTTAATCAAGTCGCTTTTCGAACAAAAAAAATCTAAAGCGGTTTATCGGTTTGGGAGCTACGATGCCATAGACACACTGAGGCACAGACAGACACACAAATACACACGTCGAACATATAACACTCCTCTGTTTGCGTCGGGGGTTGAAAAGACATCGACATCCGCGTCCTTTGCTCCATTATCGCTAGCGTTACCAGGGCTTTATGATTACGTGTTTCGCCAAATTACACTGTATCCGGTCTGTTCGGCTTTTGTTAATCATGTGTTGGTTGGTTTGTTGTTTCATTAGAATTTAAGAAGATTTTATGATAAATGAAAAAAAGTCTTGTTTTACTTTAAAAAAAAATCTCGTGTTAGGCACTAAGCCTAAAAAATTAAAGGTTTTTTGTTTTTTATTCCTTTTTACCCAAATCTCCGGCTAAATTGGCTGTTCTGTCTGGCTTTTTAGTTTTAAGGCCTGGTAACCCTATTTTGAAACATATTTGAGATAGGGAAACACTCGCCTGTCCTTAATAAAATATATAAATTCGCAAACAAAGCCTAAATTCTTTGCCAAATTTATAAAGATAATATTGATTACGATTGTTGAATCCTCACAGAAAGTAATACATTTGATACTAGCAACCCGCCCCGGCTTCACCTAGATGAGATCTAATAATGTGGTGTTATTTAGATTTAAGATGATCAAAAGCCACTGATTTTATCTTTTTTCAAATTCTTTAAGTTTATCGGATAAAATGTCGCCTAGATCCCTCCTGGCATTGGCTCTCTATCTATTCATATATATAGACTAACGGACAAAAATTAGCATACAAATAACCCCTAGAGCTTAATAGAAACCGGCTATTTGCATATTACAGATAGACACTTCCATTTTATTACAATGGTAGGTAAGTATAGATTTAACACACTGACCACTATATTTATATACAAGTACGCTGAACTGGAAGAGCCGTGGTAGCTCAGATGGCTAGCGCTCGCTATAAATTTCACAATACGCGAGCAAACCGGGTTTGATCCCCGCCGGCACCAATGAAATTGTTAATTGCAATTTTAAGTGCTGATTTACCACGTGCTCGGCGGTGAAGGAAAACATCTTGAGGAAACCTGCATGTCTAAGGAATAAGATAAAAAATATTTCGAAGACATGTGAAGTTCGCCAACACGCATTGGGGCAGCGCGGCGGACTATTCCTTCCCCAAAAACCCTCTCAGAAATGAGAGGAGGCCTGTGCCCAGCAGTGGGACGTATATAGGCTGTAACTTTACTTTACTTTTTACGCTGGACTGGCTATACCATACAAAATGTCTGTGTCGATTTGAAGCGCCACCTTTTTCCGTACCGAGAACTAAAACTGACTTATATGCCAAACTTTGGTGTCTTATTTAAATATTATCTCTGTATTTTAAACTAAAAAACGAAAGTATTTTATGTGGTTTGATTGTGAATAATTTTAGTTACATAATAAGAATTATTTTGATAATAACGAGTGTGTGTAATATGTAAAACTCGTTAGCGAAAGGAAAGTGGTATAACATTCAACAAGTAAATGAACTTAAAGCTAATATTAAATAAATTAAAACTTTTTGATAATATAGGTACTTGTTTGTTAAAGCACCAATTTATTGTCTGAATGTTTGTATAAATTGTATAAATGTCCTTAGTGAATTTGCGTGAGTTTAGGTGAACAATAGCTCCTCCCTGAACGGCAGGAGCTATTGTCGTGGGGGAGGGGGGTTAGTAGCCGTGAGCTTGTTAACCCATTCTAAAAGTAGTGGACTCCCTGTAGTGAGGAGTAGGGGAGTATATGGTTGGTCCTAGGTGGTCACTCTGAGTGGGCTTGTCGAAACCTTGGATGTTTGTCAGTGGGCTGTGGCTAGAGGAGATTTCTCTACCTTTACGGCTGCAGTCGACGTGGAGTCGCAAGGTAAGAGGGGTGTTGGTATGGCGATTGGATATGCAACACTCGACTATCCTCAGACGTGGTCATTCACTGCTGGCCGTATGAGGACGCTCAAAGTCACTCAGCGAGCTATGGAGAGGGTCATGCTCTCCGCTATAAAACCAGAGTGAACAACATCGCCCAACGGATTAGTAAGCTGAGGTAGCAGTTGGTCAACTATATAGCTCGAAGAACCGATAACCGATATGGAAAAAAGGTTTTGAAAGGTTTTGCAGCTTCGTACCAGCAGGCGAAGTGAAGGACGTCTCCCTAATTAGATGAAGTGACAACCTTGTAAGACATTCAGTAAGTTAATGGATGCAGGTGGCTCAGGAACGTGCTTTGTGGCATTTGTGGAGGAGGCCTATGTTCAGCAGTGGACCTCTGAATAGCTGTAATGATGATGAATGATGATGGCATTATATTAATATGGTACATAAATAGAATGGACTAGTAGGCCTTTACCCGTAACATCCATCCTATTTATTTAAATACCTATAGTTAGAGTATAGAATTTTATCGATATATTTTGTCACTCTGTCTTATCTCTATTACTAGTTCCGTAGACGCTTACTCCTGCTGTCAGCGCCAAAATGGCGCAAATCAAATAGCCTCATTATGTCACGGCGTAATATTTACCTTATTTTTTATTTCTGTTTCATGTTGTAGTTTTCTGTTATTTAAAGTTACAAAGTTATAAATATTTTGTGGAAAATGTTAAAGTTTTTGTAGGTATTTCTTCTGATTCTCAATAAATAATACAATACATAGTAATAAAAGTTAATGATGGTATTTAAGACGGTTCCCCTAGCGAGAGACCTTGAGCGTTCGGTCCCATACAATCCACGCGCTCTCGTTACAATATATCACGGAAAAATACGCCCGAATATTTGGAATTATTTCAATTAAAAGAGATAAGCGAACTTAAGAAATTAAATAAAACGTGTAGAATATAGATTTTTAAATTATCTATCCATTAGTGTAATTCTCAAATGATTAGAGCATTTCCTTTAGCAACAGATGCATGTAAGTAATCAATAACTTTAGTCATTTTTTAAAAGTAGATTTTAAATGAACACATAAAAACAAATTAGAACGTGGAATGTGATCATAGGATATCGAACATTAATAATGTGCTTTTAGATGTAGCTTATTTCTCATAACTAATGAGATAATAGTCTCTGAAAAATTTTGTTGGGGGTTGGGGGGTTGGTGTGTTTTTTTTTTTTTTTTTTTTTTTTTTTTTTTTTTTTTTTTTTTTAAAATTTTTTTTTTTTTTTTTTTTTTTTTTTTTTTTTTTTTATTTTATTATATGGTGGGGGTGAAGATGGGGGGGGGGGGGGGTTTTTTTTTTTTTTTTTTTTTTATTTTTTTTTTTTTTTTTTTCCGCACTTTTGCCAGGTTTTGGTCAGGGTACCGCCTTAACAAATCCACATACGTTTCACAGTTGGGCGTAATCACGATTACCCCAGATTACAGATTACCGCAGATTACCCCCTAATATGGGGTAATCTGTGCGCATAATAAAGGGGAGGATCCTTTTAAAAATACTTCCAAAATGGAATCGCCTCGGCCTCGACTTCAGAGGCTAATTAATTGTGAGGAAATTTTTAATTTCTTTGAAGTCCATTTTTACTCCTTTAAAAGGTTCGGAAGAGCGTATATTATGTATTTAAACCGCTCTTATATTGAATTTAACCTTCATGCTCTACTAATATTAACAATATGGATTATGGATACTTTAAATTCCAGTCAAGATAAGAAATGCCTAATGTAATATTAAGCATGATCTCCATACAACACATGTTGCTTCTTAATTTTTGTCAGGCGCATTAGATTAAAAATGTATAAATGTTTTTAAAATTATAATTTATTTAAATATTTTTAAATGTAACGTGTCACATGATCAACACAGTAAAAATGCAAATTAATGTATAGTGTAGTTTGAGCAAATTAATTTTCTTAATATGTTTATGTAAGTTATAGGTTTTAGTATTGTTAGTATTTTACAGATACTTACGCAAAGACTATTACCCAGTAATAATATAAATAAAAAATATTTCTTTACAAAAAGATCTATATAGGTATAGGCTTTTTGGGCTGCAGCCCAGAGCGCTCAGCGCCCAGTGAAGACAATAGCTGTCTGTAGA